AGTTTTAGTCAATCAAGTTTAAATAGGCCTCCCATAGTGGGACCGGGGAATGTACGGCCCGAGATGCCTATTAAACTTAGAGCTGTGTGTGTGTGTCTGGGGGGAAAAAGTCCTTAGTAAATCCAGATTAGAACTGGTCTGATAAATGCTGAGCTGGGTGTGTGTGAACATGGGTTGATTAACATTTGAAGCACAGATTCCCCATCATGCAGTGCTCCCCTGCTTCTCTGGTCCCAGAATTCACTGCAGTCTCTGCTTCAGGCTTTCTGTTCTCCATCTCTCATGTAAATGAATGGTCATCTGGTTCCATCTCAGATGTAAATGAGACCTAGGGCAGTTGGTTCACTCTTGTCACCCTTATCTGGAGGGTCTTAGGTGCGTCTCTCTCTGTATCTTAATCAGTTTCATTTAGGTGGGGGGGGGGTGAGTCCTTTGTGAGTCAGACAGACTGCATCCTGTGCCAGGGTTGCCCAAGAATACAGAGCTGAGGCGTAACACAACATAGTAAACTTTGTATTAACCATACTTGTTCTACTGTCTGTTAAGAGTCATTTTTTTAAAATCCCTTCCATGGCCAGGACTTTCAGAAGTAGTTATAAAACCAAACATTTTACATGAAAGAATGTGTGTGTGCATGTTACACAGGCACAATAAATTAAATTAAAAGCAGATCTTACATTGCTTTATCAACACCTAGAAGACAGACAGACATCTATGCATGAAATTAAAATCATGCACCCAAAGGAGTTGAAAAATATTACCTTCAAAACATGCAAAAGTCAAATTTTCAAACCTATACCCCAAATTAAGCCATGGAATCTTAATGATTTAAATTAATTTTCCAAGATGGCTCTTGTGTATGTTCCAACACAATGCCTTAGAGGTGAGCTAACTAGAATATCTTGGGCACAGTGGGTATGCATTTGTTCTGTGCGTGTGTTTGCCACCTCATATGTATATATACTGGAAATGTTGAAGTAATTCCACCAGTGCTGCTAGATTATCATGAGATACTGTTATATCAGCTGGCATGAACATATTTGGCTTCAAGGAAATCTATGCTCTCCTATATTCCCTTCACAATAAATGTATGTAAAGGAGTATGACAGGACTTGGGCAGGGGTGAGGAAGAGGGTTCCTCCAACCTCTTAAAATCAGTCCTGCTGCCACTGCCTACTCAGTCAGTCTTGCTTACTTGCCATACCTTGTTGGAAAAAGAGTTAAATGTGGGAGGTGCTTTACCCCTGCTTGAAGCCTAAGGCAAGGTCTCGCTGCCTGGCAGGTGTCAGATGACTCCCTGGGTTTCCTGGCTGGACCATCATCTTGGTGACTTCTTTCTCTACATCTCAGTTCTGATTGTCAGCCACTGTCTCCCAGTTTTGTAGCTGTAGACTCTGGGCTACTCCCAGGTTTCTACCCCTCCAGATCTAGAACCTGAGCTCTTAGGCTTTGTTGCCACTGCACACAGTATCTTATGCCACCACAGCAGGCCCTTGAGCTATTGTACCTGCATCACTAACCTTTTTCATGGGAAGTAGGTTAGGCAGGGTGCTAGAATACCCTGTCCTTCAATCTCCACATCTTACCTTAAAGTTGCTCCTGGTCTACAACATGCCCATTAAATCAAGAAAAGGAAAAGAAGGAATCCTCAATTTAAAAACTTTCTCTGCCTTGGGGTGATGGGCACAGTTCTATCTTAAGGGTCCACCCCACAGACCCACTGTTTAACAAACCAGTAACAAAAGGTTTGTTCAACAAAACTTCCTCCTGTCCAAGGCTTCTTCTACGGTCTAGCAAGGCCCACTCTCATCCAGGCATTTGTACTTTTATACGTCTGGGCCATACACCCCTTCTGGTCATATGGCCCACTGGGCCACACCTGGTTCTAGCCCAAACCTTTCTGGTAGTTTCTTTTCCTTCTCTGAAACAGGGGCTTGACTCCACAACCCCCCACATTACAAGGATACTCCTATTTTGATATTCTGTATTAACAAACTAGGGCCATTTCACTGTTTCCATAGGAAGTGCCAGGAATCTAGAATTCATGTTTACCTATTTCATATTAGCAATAATGGCTTCAGGGCAATTATTATTCTCCTTTTGTATGGGAGAGCCTCTTACTGGTGTGCACTTTATAACAATCATTTGAAACTGATACATGACACCTTGAGCAGAACTTCTGGTGGGCATCATAATAGGGACCATTGACTTACCTTTTATTCTGATGCCATCTTCCTGGTCCTCCAGGTAGCTAAACACCCTCATAGGTTAGATGCTGAATGCCTTTGGAAGTCCTTTCTTCTCTTAGTGGATGTTGGCTCTGGTTATTGCTTATACCTGGATGTTCCTGTTGAAATAAGGGGAGGAAAAAAAAGCAATGGCATCAAATCCTGTCCTCATAGGAAGAGGCAAAACAAGTACATGCTCCAGTATTAACTGGATTAAAAACCTCCCAGTTCTCACACAGAGCAAGAACCTTGACTAATGCACAAAAGTAGGATGAGATGGATGAAAAAGGGAAAGCCTGATTAAGAATGCAATGCCTCCAACTTCAATATTATCTTTAAAATATCCCCATTTCTTGGTAACACATTCCCATCTGTATTCACCCTACAAATCAACTCTGGTCTTTCCTTTCCATCTCACAAGATGAAAGGCAAGGAATATTGTAGGTATTGGACAAACTGCATGGTTCAGACAGACTTAGATAAGCTTTTGAATGCACACCATTCTTCATCAGGTCAGAGGGAAGAAGTAGGCACAGCAATGATTTAAAACAGTATAGAGAGCTGTGAAACTGGAGAAGAGAGAAATTCCCAGGGGCAACAGACAAACAACAGGAGAAAAAGATAGCTTGATTTGTGGGTGTGTAACAGGACCATGCCCCAGGGGCAGCTCTGACCCCTGGTGGCCAAGCAGCTCCAAGAAAGGCTGCCCCAGGGTCCTTAAGTGAGCCTAGCATGGCTTGGCCAGTGAGTCTGTCCTGTATTCGGTTGACCCCAAGCCTGGCTCCATGCGCAGTCCAGCTGTAGCAGGGCAAAAGAGACCCTGGAGCCCCTCCACACCCAACACCAACAGTTCAGCTGGGGCCAGTGGCAGGTGGAGAAGAGAGAGAACAGAAGGGGAAGGGCTAGAACACTGCTCCTGTAATGCAGTCTACCCACCCCAGTGTTTGGGGGGGGGGGGGGGGGGGGGGGGGGGAGGGGGGGAAGTGGAGCTGGGAGCAAGGTGAAGCCAAGCCACCTCTGCAGCACAGGTCACTGATCCTTCACCCCACTTTCCAAAATCCTGGATCTGTCTATGCATTCTGATGGGTTCCTTGTGGGGAGTTGATTGTTGTAGAAGTAGAGATGTGTTGACAGTTTTTGCATCTGCTGTTAAAGCAAGGCCTGTGTCCCTAGGAAGAAGCTGATCTATTTTTGACCACCCTGGTAAACAAGATGATATTCACCTGAGCAAAACTGGCTTTGCTTTACACAACAGTCTCATAATCCACTTTCTAGAGCAGTGTTTCCCAACCAGTATTCCGCAGCACAAAAAGTGTGCCATCAGACATTTACAGGTATGCTACAGAATTTTGCCATGGCAATGAGCTACAATAGGTATGAGGATGGGCAATGCCTTAACAGGTGTGCCATGGAAAATGTTTTATTAATGTAAGTGTGCCTTGGCCTAGAAAAGGTTGGGAAACACTGTTCTAGACAAATACCAATATGAACAGATGCAGATAACAAAGGAGTCACTTGCAAAAATGCAAAAGTTCTGAGGTACAGAATAGTGGCACGTGATAACTCATCATTATAATACCCAAGCTATCTAACTCCTTTGTGTTCTATAAACTGAATGAGCAGCTTCTGAAAATACCGTTACCTGGTCACATAAATACATCCAGCTTCCCCTGCACAGTGTCAGCTAGTGTTTGCAGATACCTACGCAAGTGTTATTAACGATTTCTAGCATTGAACATACGGTTCACTGTTCTCCCAACTAAACATTAATGCCATAAGCTGTGCCTTGACAATAGTGCTTATTAGTCTGACATCTGGTGTGCAGTCACTGCTTCAGTTTTCACACTCTGGAGACTTGTGCTCCCTAGACTGACACAGATTAAAGTCTTGTGGACAAATCAAAATAAGGAAATTAAAGTACAAATAGGAGTCAGTGCATGTCAAACCTCCCCACTCCTTATCTTAAGTGCTGCCATTAGGCTCCTCCCCAGAGTTTCAAAGGCTTTGCCTCATCCTTCAAAAAGGTATCAATGAAGAGTAAGGATATTTCATGCTCTCTTTCTTCTGCAGGCTCCAGCTCAGATTTCACTAGTGAAGCAGTCACTCAATCCAGTCTCACTTCCACTTCAGTATTTCCTCTGGACCGCTTACTACCAAGTTAAGCCTACCAAGTTATTAGGTCTTCACTTTGGTCTTCCACAGATTTTTCCTGGAGGCTCCCTCAACCCTCTTCCCTGGGCTTCTATGCCAGATGACCAACCCACACTTCCATACTTCTACACTGCTGCTCTGATTCACAGATAGCTCTTTTATAGCTTTATCACCACATCATTTCTTTCAGTTGTGCAACATGAGAGGCTCAGGCAAGAACACAGCCAAGGTTTAATGACATATGTTTTGCCTATGCTGTTTGTGGTCATTTCATTATAATCATGAACAGTTAAATAACTGGTGTTCTGTTCATTTAAACTGAGGCAAAAATCAGTGGCCATGACATTGTTTCTTGATCAGTTTGTGGGGCGCACAGACCAAAGTTGGGTTTGAAAGAGTCCTGTTTGTTGCTTATGGATCTCCAGTCTTGGGACAGTCAAAACCAAGACCGCCCCCCCCCCCACACACACACACACACAATAAGAAGGAATTAACAGAATTGATCATTTAAGGGCCTAAGGCAGGTAAACTGTTTACAGCCAAGGAGGATTCTCAGTTTTTAGTACACATTGGCTAAAGAGGCAGGACAGCTGCAGAGCTGTTTGAAGCCTATCATTTTCTAAAGAAAGAAATGCCTACATGCAAAGATTTATTTTTTTTTAGTGAGAGAAAAATCAAGGAGCTATGGAGACAATTGATGAGTGGATAATCCAGCTACAGCTGATAATAAAAGCCTGAGCTTTCTCAGAAAGGGGTGACATGCTGAAGGGTAGGATCTTAATGGGATCAAATTCAAAGAAAAATTACTAATGGAAAAAAAAAACTTAACATCAGAATAGCCAGAGGACAAGATCTCCAAAGAGCTGATGAAAGGAAGTACTCACTAGCACCAGACATGCTCATGTTAAATAAATGTAAGACTAGCAATCAGAAACACACATACAAAGAGATAAGGGTGCAACAGCTGGGCACCAGACATATGCATTGTTAATGTTACAGAAGCGTGTAGCCAAATCACAGATATAGCAAGTTTGTAGTACATTTAGACTACATTATGCAAAGAAAAAGGAATACTTTGCACAAGGTAAGATATGCACAAAGGACCACAAAACAATGCTGCTGAAGTAAACAAAAGAGCACAGGGAGTACAATACATTGTAACACCTACATGGCAGACAGTTCAGCAATTACTCTGCAGTATTCTCTCTCGCTATTAGACAGAAAGAGAAAGGCTAGCAATGAGGCATATGCAACAACATTATCAGGCTGAGAAGAAATACCTATAAAATTCCAAGTTGGTACCAAGAGGCAAGTAAACTGCATCCCCAAAAGAGGAAAGGCCAAGCCCTCCTCACACCATAACCCATTTACCTCCATCAGCAAAACAAATGGGATATGGAGGATATCCATGTCACACAGTAAAAAATGCAATATTAAGAGGGTTTACAAGACTATAAAGCCAAAACCTAGATTTCCGTGTAATAAGGATGACAGCAAAATAAATACTTAAGGAGAAAACCTTAAAATTATTAAACTTTGGTAAGCCCTGGCCCCATGGAAGCAATAAAAGAATATCAAACAGCAGAGGAAATTAAGAAATGCTTTTAAACACATCAGGAAATCTAAAACTGTCAGCTGGGACTTTTAAAAACCAAGCTATCTGCAAATGCTGTGCCGACAGAGCACTGGGATAAATGCCATTAACAATAAGGTCCAAAGTAGAAAAGGAACCCTAGCACACTGTATAATTAAGTATAATTGAAAATGTGGAAAATTCATCAGCATGGGTTAGTTTGATGATATTGGTTGGGGGCAGGTAGGAACCTATGGAAGGACATGTATGAGGTTTTCATTCAAGATTAAAGCAGAACAAAATAATAAAAGCTACCAGTCCTAGATTACCTCATTTAGACCTCTGTGCCTTGAAGCAAATGTATCCTTGTACTAGATATATAGTATGGATACCGGCAGATCAAACTGGACAAAGAACAGCAAACTAACTGCTTTCAACACTCCATTTGAAACTCACATTCATGAAATTCTTGTACTAGGAAGCACAACAACAAAACAACAGCACTGCTCCCAAGATTTCATAGATTTCAAAGACATTAGGGCTGGAAGGGACCTCGCGAGACCAAGGGGCAGGAAGTCAGCTGGGGTCATATCACCCCAGCAAGATAAGCATCCAAGCATTTCTTAAAGGTATCCAGAGTAGGTGCCTGCACCACTTCTGGGGGGAGTATACTGCAGACACTGGAGACTCTGATGGTAAAGAAGTTCCCCCCCCCACCCCCCGAGTCCAGTCTAAAATGATCTTCCAGCAGTTTGTGACCATTAAACCTCATCTTCCCTTGGGGTGCCCAGGTGAACAGATGTTCCCCCAGTTCCTGATGCACACCCCTTATATATTTCTAGGCTGCCACCAAGTCCCCCCTGAGCTTTCACTTCTCCAGGCTGAAGAATCCCATGTCCCTCAGCTTCTCCTTATAAGGCCTGTTCTCTTGCCCTCTAATCATGCCCGTGGCTCTCCTCTGGACTCTCAAGCTTCTCCACATCCTTTCTAAAGTGCAGAGCCCAGAATTGGATGCAGTACTCCAGCTGCAGTCACACCAAGGATCAGTACAGCGGGAGGATGACTTCTTGGGTCTTACTAGATGGAAAGAGTTTTAACTGAAACATAGCAAAATTCAAATCAGGGTCGAATGAATTAATTACTTTGATCATATCTTTAAAGGTTAGGCAGTTAGCAAAAATTGAAACATTTTTACAAAAAGGGAAAGGAGGAAAAATAATAAAATCCAATAGTAGTAGTTGTAGTAGTAGTATAAGAATAACTCTCTGGACAAGATCTCAGTATGTGAAGGACTCCATAAATCTATAAATATAGCTAATTATGAACACCTAACAAATAGATCAGGGGTTTTCAATCTTTTAAAGTAAGTGTATCCTCAGCAGCCAGATGTGGGGG